CATCATTAACATGCTAATTAAATCCGTCATTATACTTGCTAAGTTGGCGTGTTTATCCTGTGTTGTAGATGATGTACTGTATATTTAATTTGTAACAAGCTGCAGAATTATGGTCGAAGAGAATGGTGTATAAAATATGATTACTTTAATTTAAAGATACTAAAAATATATAAATATTGGAGGATAATAGTCTCTTGGTCGAAAGTATAAGTTTTATAGGATATCACATCATTTACACCACTATATAGTGAATTTATGTTATGTATGAATTTTTTTCTCATATATATCTTTACAATGAATATGATTGATAGTTATTAAATACAATAATTACATGATATGGATGTATAAACTTGCAATACTACACTTGTAATACTATAGTGATATCATAGATTTTTTCTTCTTTATTGGATATCCTTATGTTATCCTAATTTTTTTTTTTTTTTTTCAGCTAACCTCCATTTATTTACGCACATAGGTCTAAAATTCTTTATAATAATCATTACTGGGTGGCATGATAGTCAAAGAATAAAAACAGGTTTTATGAGCTCGAAAGCACTAATAAGGGTGGCTAGCGAGGTTTTTACTCGACTAATAGTTTCAGGGTTCTGGAAGATTAGTTGAGATGCATACAAACTAGTCCGGACACCTCTAGTGATAGAAAAAAAAAATTCTTTATAAATCTTACTAAAATAAATCAATTACATTATAAGACAAGATTCAAAAAATAAAAGAAGGATCATCTACAAATAAGATTGGACTTCCACCACGTGGGTTTTTTCTCATGTAAAGGGTATTTCTAACTGCACCACGTCCAATAAAATATACTCTCAACCCATGTTTACCCTTTTCACATTTCCCACCATCCTAAACCTAAAGCCCAACTTCAATTTAAGTATTAAGAAGATAATTTATTTTATTTTTTTTTGGTGATCGGGAGTGTTCGGGTCAGTTTACGTGTACCTCAATTAATTCTTCGGAGCCCTAAAGTTGATTCAGTTTCAATTATTAGTCTGTTATTTCTTATGGAATAAGGTGATGAAGTTTTAATCAGTCTTGTTACGCTCTTCATACCACAAAAGTGCTTTACAATACTTGCAAATTTGCAATTGTAAGATGGTTCACCAAAGTTTCAGGGCTTCATTTCTGCTGTTCACAGAAATAAAATTATTTTTTAAAACATAACAAACTTAATGATGTTGCTCCAAAAATAAAAAAACCTTCAATAATTTTTTTTTTTTTTTTTGGCTGAGGAATGATTACAACAAACAATATTAAGACTATAATGAGCATTTTCTAGATTGCATTGCATCTTCCACTCTTTCAAGTCTGATTTGCATTTGATTAGAAAATTATTTTTTAAAACATAACAAACTTAATGATGTTGCTCCAAAAATAAAAAAACCTTCATTTTTTTTTTTTTTTTTTTGTGGCTGAGGATGTCCGGCCAGCTTACGTGTACAATCGGGGACCAGAAAAATAATCACAACTAACCAACATATAAAAAAAAAAAATAGATAATAATTATATGAAACTTTAATATTATCTACCTCTTTTTCTCTTCAATTCAAACATTCTCAATTTCCTATTTTCCCTGCACACTTGTGTTCTCAATTCAACAGCACTTATATTTCCAGATTTATATTCCAATTGATAGTTTCTTATCCTTCCCAAATATAATTGTTGAACAGATAAATGTACACCTTTTATACTTGACCAAACATCAAAATTATGTAAATATGATAATCATGTAGTAAATATTTAAATTTTTTATCATCATAGAACTAATAAGAACATATTGTATGGTACAATTCATTGAGCATCATATTGTCCAACTGTTTTTATAATAAAATATAACAAATCTAAATTGGTTAATTTACTATTATTCATAAAAATCACATTGTTATATATATTATTTATGTAACAATTATGTATAAATTTATGGTTCGCCCAATGGCTCATTACAACTCTATAGGAAAATTGATGATATGCTAGTTACAATGTAAACTCAAATAGACCTTAATATATTTCAGTTATGAATAAAATATGGTTTGTTGATGCTTGATTTTGGACACCAACGACTCGTACATACAAAGTGCTAAGAGAGTCTTAGAAATTACACGTGATGGATCCATGAAATTTGAATATGGTGCTGAGATTATATATGTTATTAATAGACTGACAAAAGAGGTTTTTGTAATGGTTCAGATGCTTAAAGCAAATCCTACATCCACTGTTATTTTATTGTTCTCTGACTATTTCTATGATATTGCCCGTAAGACATACAAAGATGAAGAAATACTTTGCTTACAGAGAGAAAAAATGAAGCTCAAATCTATGTCTAACTCTCATATGCCTAACCCCCATTTTTGTGAAGAGGGGTGCTTATTTATACATCTTTTATTCTTTTAAATCAATATAATGAATGTTTTTGCAAGTTACCCTAGCACGTGGGGACCACTCCTTAATTATTATCTTTTTATTTTGATAAAGTTGGGATATGTGTGCGGTCCTCATCCACTCATAGACAAAACTTGAATCTGCTGAGTTGGTGACATCCGTATCCCTTCTATCTTGGGATAACGTGGTAGCTCCTAGACGGTACAAAGCCTTTCTGAACTCTAATTGGTTAGTGCTAATATCAGTGCGATTTTTTAGGCATAACATAGTTGGACAAATGCTTTATTACAATTATGTAAGCAAATTTTATGGTTTGACATGTGGCTTACTACAATTAAACATGATGAAACATTAGCGTTTGACAGTGATAATTTGAATTGAAGGAGACTTTGATGTACTGCAACTATGCATAAATCACGGTTGTAGTAATACGTATGGTTCGGCAATGACTTCTTACAACTGTACAATCTAATTTATGGTTCGTCATATCAACAGTAATAAAAATATATAACAATGATGTATAAATCATAGTTCGGCAATGGCTTATTACAATTATACAGTCAAATTTATGGTTTGGTAGCCAGTTTATTAGAATTCAACAGTAAACAAAGCTTATGGGTCGACAATGAGATTGTGAAATCAGATCAATAGGAAATAAACTGCAATTATGAGAGCAAATTTTATGTTTCTAACTGAAACTATATAGCAATCATGAGGAGCGATTGAACAGGCATATTACAATATAATACTGAAAAGAGTTTACGATAATATATTACCTTCGATAGGATGTAAATTGCAAGAACAAATTTTATGTTTCCACCCATTGTATATACTTACATCAAATCACAATAAAAAAATATTAACAATAATCTAGCAAAAGTGAATTTATATTACATATGATTTATTTTTCTCTTATATGTCTTTACAATAAATATGATTGATATTTATTAAATAAAATAATTACATAATATGGATACATTAACCTGTGATTCTACATTTGTAATACTACTGTGATATCATAGATTTTTTCTTCTTTATTAGATATCCTTATGTTATTCTATTTTTTTTTTTCAGCTAATCTCAATTTATTTACACACATAGGTCTAAAATTCTTTATAACATCTTACAAAATAAATCAATTGCATTATAAGACAAGATTCAAAAAATAAAAGAAGGATCATCTACCAATAAGATTGGACTTAACTCTAAGGAGGCATTTGGTTCAAGGAATATTGGATTACTGGAAAGTTCGATTACCTTAAAGATTACTGAGAATCTTTAAGAAAATGTGTTTAGTTAATTAATGGGTATGTTATATTAATATATTTTGTTAGAAGGATTAATTGGTGGGTATGTTATTTAAATTACTGAATTGTTCTTTAATTAAATATTATTATTATATTATTTTTTAATATTGATTATTATTTGGATTATTTTAACCCCTTTACATTTAAAAACTTAGCAAAAACAACCTCATAATAAAAGTTTGGAAAATCAACAAAGTACCCTCACCAACCCAGCCACTGTCGGCCACCGGCAACCACCGCTGGCAGCCGACAACCTAACGGCGCACGAAAGGTAGGAAAAGGTCTCCGTGCGCCGTATGGCCATTTCTGGCCAAAGAGACGTGGCAGATCTGGCTGTCGATGGTCAGATCAACGGATTTGGCCGTCAACTGCCAGATCTGGCCATTTTCAGCCAGATATCTAGCCGGAAATGGCCATATCGGCACACGACGACCATTTTCAGCCTTTCGTGCGCCGTTCCGGTGGCCGCGGCGGCTGGCCATGACGGTGGTTCCTCGTAGCAGGTGGGTGGGGGTGGTGGTTTGGGTGGGCTGCAATTTATTTTGAATTCAAGGGTAATTTTGTCAAAAAAGTTAATTAATTTGGGTAAAATAGTAAAAGCCATATTTATGTAAATAAATTTAAAAATAAGGGTATTATTGTCCTAAAATTTTATTAATAAGGGATAAAATTGTAACAAAAAAAAGATAACTCTGGTAATCTTAGAATACCCAAGAAAATTGAGGTATTACCTCCAATATTATCAATAGTAACCACTATTGGTATTTGAAGATTACCGATATCTTATATTACTTGACAACCAAATATGGTAATAAAGTAATATAAGATGACTTAACTTCAGTAATCCCACATAACCCCCAACCAAACGCCCCCTAGGGGGTTAACCTGACGGTAAAAAAAGTTTACTCATTTCATTGACTTCTTACATTCGAACCTTAGAATCACCTATCACATTTGTAACTTATCTTAGAATATTGAGTTTATTGGATATTCAATAGGCACCAAAAATTAATCGAGGTGCACACAAACTTACCTAAACACTCTAATAATCAGAAAAAAAGAAAAAAAAAAAAAAAACAGATTGGACTTCCATCACGTGGGTTTTTTCTCATGTAAAGAGTATTTCTAAATGCACCACATCCAATAAAATGTACTCTCAACCCATCTTTACCCTTTCACATTTTCCACCTAAGCCCTAAACCTAAAGCCCATTTTCAATTTGGATTAGCAGCCCTATCCGGATTTATCGATTGGCGGGTAACAGTATTTCATTGCGTAAAGTATTAACAGGATAATATTGTATAATTCAATCAAAATTCGATCAAAACATACACGCCTATAATTTATCAACAAACTGAGAATATTGGTTTTGATGATTATAAGGTATTCAATTTAAATTAACAAACAAAATTTTCGTGCCTATCTTTTCTGCGGATGTAATGCTGAAGCGATGTCGTTTAAGGCAACTAAGCTGTAAATGTCTGTTGCTAATCCTTCAAGAAGCTACTGGACACTCAAATGCTTCCACTGCTTCAGTTTAGAAAAAATGGATAAAACATCCAACGCATGACTTTTGCTTCCTCTGTTTTATCTCTTCAAATTTTGATCGAAAATTATTGTTACACTAACGATCTCCATGCCGATCTCTTCAATTTCTCTCTTCCGTCACCGAGCAACCGCCGTTAACAACTTCATCCGCCATGTATCAGCTATCCACCACCGTCAAGCCCCGATCGTCACCGCCGCAGCTAAGCACCAGCAACAAAAACCTAAAAACTATGTTAGCAAGAATCTACTCAGAGCCAAACAACACACTGTGAAAGAATTCTCCTCTCTCGCTCCAGTTCTCTCACCACAGGACAAACAGAACCTGACCGAGTCCCAAGCAATAGGTACTGTAGCCGCCGCCCAAGCGAATTTCATGCGCGTGATCGTCCAACCAGAACCTTCTAGAACCTCCGATTCGTCTTCCAACATCACTAGTGGAGTGGAGCTGCTGTGTGTGGTGAAAGCCGTGCTGAAAAAGATAAGACGGAGAGTTTTGGTCGGGGACAAGGTGGTGGTGGGGTCCATTGATTGGGTGGACCGCAGAGGCATGATTGAGAATGTGTTTCAACGGAGTACGGAGATTCTGGACCCTCCCGTGGCGAATGTGGACCATTTGCTCGTGCTTTTCTCACTAGACCAGCCCAAGCCAGAGCCATTTACGCTCACAAGGTTCTTGGTTGAGGCTGAGTCGACAGGAATTCCACTCACCCTAGCATTGAACAAAGTAGAGCTTGTTGATAAGGAGGTTAGATACATTTTGTTTATGTTATTTCATTATTGTTTTGTTTTGTTCAAATCTGCATTCTAATCTTAGCTTCAGTTTCTAATTTGAATTGGCATGTTATTAGGATGTAATATCTATATGATTGAAGGTGAAAATAAACTTTGCTTAGTATTAACTTTATTGCAACTTTGCTTAAAGGTGAAAATTTGATAAACTTTGATTTTAATTCGGGTTCATGATATTTGATAAATCATCGTAAACCAATTGGGAACTGCCGGTTTGTGAGAGAGAGTTAATGAGATTGGCTTCTAGCCAATCTCTATTGTTTTAATTCTGAATGCCACGTGAAAAGAGAAATGCCTGCACAAAGCTGTGGATTATAGTCAAGCTCGTGCTGCAACTAACAGTAGTGGTGTTATTGTTGCTGTTTCTTTAGGACTGTTGATATAAAACTTACAGGATTACACCTATCTCTTAATCAGTATTTGAATTGGTTGTGGGAAAAATATCCCGCTCTCTAAGCACTTCTGTTCTATTCTAAATCAAACGCATTTTTCTTCTTCTATTCCAGTGCTGTTAATGCTAAAATCTCTTGACTCTGCAGACACTGGTTGGATGGAACACTAGGCTGCATGGTTGGGGCTACGAACCGCTGCTTTGCAGTGTCGAATCAAAATACGGACTTGACTCTCTTGCATCAAGCTTGAAAAATCAAACAACTGTAATTGTGGGTCCAAGTGGAGTTGGGAAGTCTAGTCTTATTAATGCTTTGAGAAGCAATCCTAGTGCTGCTGATGCTGCTGAAGGGGATAATTGGTTTGAACCAGTGGGGTTCTCCTAACCCTGTTCCTTCACTTATTTGTCTTTCCTTTTGTTTGTGTTTGGGTTATAATTTCGTTCTTGTACATTCACTCCCTCCAGATTTTGGGAAGCAAATGGTTAGAGGATCAGCGTGTTGGGGAAGTTTCAACCAGAAGTGGCAGGGGAAAGCATACCACGCGCCATGTTTCTTTGCTTCCATTATCTGGAGGAGGTTATCTAGCTGATACTCCTGGGTTTAATCAGCCTAGTTTACTGAAAGTAACTAAGCAATCTCTTGCACAAGCTTTCCCTGAGGTTTGTGCTTTTAGCCTGTTGACAGTGATTTCGCACGCTTCATTTATTTAAGCTTTGACTGTGTTAAATTTATGAACAGGTAGTGATACCTTCTCTTTTCTATTGTTGATTCTTTCTGTTTCTATTTTCTCCTCAGATTCGGAAAAGGTTGAAAGCCAATGAGCCCTTGAAATGTACATTCAATGATTGCGTGCATATTGGTGAACCAGGGTGCGTTATAAAAGGGGATTGGGAAAGATATCAATACTATTTTCAACTTCTTGATGAGATCAGGATGAGAGAGGTGTTTCAGTTGAGGACATTTGGAACCAAAAGAGAGGGTGATGTAAGGTACGTAAGATTAGATCTCTAGTGATAGCTACATATTTGCCATGTTGTGGCAATTCCACCCAGAAGGTAATGGGTTACTCCTACAACACGTCCTTGTACAATGCTCAAGGCTCTAGGCTTTAGGCTGAGTGGCAGGAGCAACCTTTAATTTATTATGAGCCTAAACGATGGATTCAATAAGTTCTTGCCAATAACCATGCTCGCTGAATAGAAACATTAAACTAAAAGCCCATACAAATTGAGCACCTAGAAAAAAAAGGCCATATGCAGATAATGAAGAGCCGTAAGACTGAATTACCTGGGATGCTGGTGCCCATAAAAAATCGCGGATCCTGCTGGTGGAACTAAAAGTTAGATAATGTTATGTTCAATAAGCTCAACGGCCATTAAAATTGAGAGTAGAAACATTTTGGTCTGAAATAGCAACTTCAGTTTCATTACTCTATGGCCAATAAATGTTTGTATTAAGCATTTATACTGACGACTCTTCCTATCTTTTTCCTGTACTTCCTTTTCTTCTAGACCAAATAATTTGCAAAAATGTAGTTCAGTTCCTTGTTAGTATAACTTTGCAGGACAATCCTGGTTTGATAACTGCATTTCCAATTGTCAAATTGTTTGTAGGTACAAGATGGGTGACATGGGTGTTCAGCAAGCTGAACCACGATTGGAGCCTAAAAAGCACCGAAGACAGTCTCGCAAGAAGATCAACCAGTCAATATTAGATGAGCTGGATGAGGATGAGGATGAGGATGAGCTGGATGAGGATGAGGATGAGCTAGACTTGGAAAATGATCCCATTTTGAGAGATATGAGGAACGAAAGCCAGTAGAAAGTTGGTTTTAAACAGTAAGTGTAAATGAGTAGATTTTTGACCCTCTTTTTTGTTACAGCTGCTACACTGAATTCATCGGTACGGGTAATGATGTGATACCAATCAGATTTGTGAGTTTTCTTGGATAGAGAATAAATCCTTGTATAATGGCTGCTAGTGGGACTGATTGAGATCTAATGTGTTAACATTTGCAATTTTCTCTTTCATGGTATGCACTACCCACAGCGTTAATTTTTGCAGAAACAGATGTCAGGCAGTAAAGCAGTGAACTAGTGAAGATTTTAGGATGTAAAATTGAGTTCCAGCTTGTGTCTTTTTTTTTCTAAATTTTAACCCTGTTTTTCCATGTACCGGTTTATAAACTTGGCATCTGATGCTCCAATATATGATGCCCTTAATTTTGTTTGAAATTCAACCTAAGAAACCTTGTCTCGTTGTAGATGAACATAAAATGAATGAGTTAATTCCGTGGACTGAATTTTGCTATACATATTATTGATGTCAAGTATTTTTAAGGATTAAAGTACAGTTGCGAAGCAATGCCGGACCACTTCGCTTTGCTTTGTCTGCAAAACTCTTTTAACACCATCATGATATTGACTAAGGGCAAGGACTCCTCCATATTCGTAATTTAAAGTATTGAAGGGAATGTCTTGTGCTAGCTAGTTAGCCTCTGCTGGACTTAACGTGGTAACCAGAATTGACATTTAAGTGGCTACTTAAAACCTGAACTTTCTATTATTCATATGCACATCAACACTGCCATCAGTCAACTGAAATACTTCGCATAGTAACAGCTTAGATATTATCACCAATACTCCAAATCTTTGGAGTATCCTAGCGATCATGCAGTTTATGATCTCATCCAACAAATGGCCATATAGATAAGGAAAAAGAAAAACACAATCCCCTCAAGGCTGAAAACATTGATATGTTAGATCATCACAGATGGAAGACAGGAAGCATTCAAACCACTCTATAGGATAATAGGAATATACTTAATAAAAGATACCTGAAGCCAATAAACTCGCCAACATCTCTCTAATAAAGAAAATGAGAATACAAATTTCCCTGTTAACAAAATCAGGTTGACTATATGAAATGATGAAATCACCATTCATTCTTATTGATTGTCAATTTCATAATTTCAAGTATTAATCAGGTCTGCTCAAATTATTGTTGTGGTTAATGCACAAGGCAACGTCAATTTCCTGAAGAGAAATCAGAATTCATTTTTCCCTGAACAACTAATAGAATCATTGGCTAATTCAGGCGAATACTTTGACATACCATCAAGCAGAACTATGCTTAACTTCTATCAAAATCTCACCACTCTCCAGAAGAAGTTAGCTACATAAAACTATAACATTCACTTCCATTTCAGCTATGCAGAAACGTCACTTTCCAGGGTTTACTCTTAAGTCAATCTCATCATATGATTACTCACCATGCCCTATCATAGTGAGTTGATGACCGAATTAAATATTCTTAACACCATTAACAGGCAAGCAATTAGATCCTTCTTTCCCAAATAAACAACACATAACAATAATAATAACAGCATGCAGGCAACACAGTCATTATACTAAATCAAGGCCAATTTCTAGTGATAGTCAAGAGAGTTTCAAAGTTTTTGACAAGAAAGCAAGGGCGTTTTTTATAAACCTTTCATAAGAAGATGACAGCCAAAGTCATAGAAACCCTATCAAATGCCAAAATTAACCTACTTCTTAGCAGGCTTTTTCTTTGAACTAACAGCCACCTGCGGTTTGGGATGCTTTTCAGCCTCACTTGGATCCAACCAGTTGAGTGGGTGGCGATTGAAGAAAGGCCAGTTAGGGACAGTGATTAATGTGGTGAGAACCACACCACCAGCATATATCAACATCATCATCTGAAATGAACTCATTGCGTAACCAGTAACAAATGCCACAACCGCAGATGCCAACAGCATTATCTGCATCAAGTGCTCCGCTAATTTTTGCCCTTGCCAATCCATCTACAACATGGAATTGCAATCTAAAATTAAAAGACTACCAAAGAGATAAACAACTAAAGTGAAATGTTAGACCCTCGAGAGAAGAAAACCATCATGCATCAATTGTGCTGAGAAGTGAAACAATAATAAATACGAATGTTATGACATGAAGATAGAAACGAAAACCCTAATGCTCTGTTTGGCTGCTGAGAAAATGTTTTAAAAGAGAGAAATTCGAAACACTTTCTCCCTTTCGCGAAATCTGTTTCAGTCAACTAATCGTAAAAGTCATCTTTTCGATTTCTCAGAAAGCGCACAGAATCGACAAATAAATACTGATTCAATTTTCCTTCTCAGTTTCTAATAAAACAAACAGAGGTATTACGCAACAAACATGAATATATTTGAAGAAATCGAAATAATAGAGAATTTGAACGATAATTAGAAATAAAAATCGTAGGCCTGAGACCTCGAAGGGATTGAGCTTACCGTGATATGAAGAGTTGAATGAAGAAAGTCACGGTGTCTGAAGGAAAGCTGAAGTTCAAGCACAGATCTCAGATATATTGAGAACTGGAGATGTATGGAAGCGCAATTACCAAACGTCTTAATGTCAAGAGAAAATGCAAACCGTTGGATTGAAGGTTGATGAGGCTGCCCTATAAGAAATTATGAGCCCTTGAAAATTGCCAATTTAATTAGTTCCGAATTAAATTAATTTGCATTTTGTAGAGTTAAAAAAAAAAAAAAAAAAAAAAGGTTGGCCATTATTTGGCAAATGGTTGCGAGGAATTTCATTTTATCGGAGAGTAAACCACTTTTTCCCACCCAAAGTTTGCTTTAACAATATTTTTTTATTTAAAAGATCTCAAAATACCATTTTTTCACCTAAAGTTTATATTCCGTTAATATCAAAACTGATTCTAACAACGAAAATTATTTTTGTCACTACTATTTGAATCTCTTGTATCTTCTTAACAAGATCTTTTTTATTTTAGCATCTGATTTTTCAATGATTGCGACCGTTGCAAAGTTTAGAGTTTCTGTTCTTTGTTGATTTTCGACTCCTATTCTTAACTGATTTTCAACTCATCTGACGACAAATATTTAATTAATCATCACCAATTGATCTATCGACCTTCATTCTAAAAAACTCCTCTCATCCTTAAAAAAGTGAAATGTATTTTAAATAATAATGGAATATAAACTTTGGTAAGAACATAGTATTTTAAGATTTGTTTAGATTGAAAAATGTCGTCTAAGGCGAACATTGGGTTGGGAAAAAGTCGTTTACTCTCTATTAGTAATTAGATCATGCTCATGCAGAGCGTTTACCGTGATTGTTTACGTTTGATAATATATTCTTTTTTCGAATACCATTATTCACTTAGTGATGAAAGATGGATATTCTATCTATCGAGATTTCACTGGATTCGGCGGTTTATTTTATAAAATGAAATTTAAAGGTACTACTCTAATTAATGAAGTAAAGAGTACTTTCGCTATCAAGGAAAAGAAGCAATAGCACTCATGCAAAGCCATATTTACCAATGAAATTAATCTTGATATTAGAATTTAGAACATATTTTAACGGCTAATATTTTAATTTTATATGAGCATCAAAAATCTTCAATTTTCATAAGCTTCAAATGAATCCATGAAAAATCTAACAGAACATTAAACCAAAGATAAATTTAAATAAACAAAATATGCCGTCCGATTCAACTAAATAACAGCTCAGTCGCACTATTAAAAGTAACAAAACTCCAGGAAGATCACAGACGAGAGTGCAATCCACTCGACTAGCTAAATTACTTCTTTGATTTGCTAGTTGCCAATTGGTTTTCAGGCTGCAAAAAAAGACAAAGAAAAACATGAGACAAAATAAATTTACACCAGTATAGCTCACAAATATGTGTACATGACTGCATTACCTCCTTCTTTACTGGTTCTTCCTTCTCAGACAAGGTCAATTCAATGTGGCATGGGGAGGACATGTAAGCTGCAATTTTTTTTCCAGTTAATTATCAATACATAAAAGAGTGTGATCCATCAGAACAAAACAACGAAGTCGAAAGAATTCAGAACTTACGATTAATTCTTCCATGAGCTCGGTATGTGCGGCGTCTTTGTTTCTGGGCCTGGTTCACCTGGATATGAGAAATGTAGAGTGCATCAACATCCAAACCTTTCACCTGAAAAACAGTTACAACTATTAGAAAATAGAAATCATGAAGTCAGCAAAGCACAAAAAACAAAAAACAAGACACGACATACTTCAGCATTGCTTTCTGCATTCTTAAGCAAGTCTAGAATGAACTTTGCAGATTTCACTGGCCACCGCCCTTGGCCATTTGGATGCCTGTTCTTTGCCTGAGCAGTACGTCCAACACCACCACAGAAACGTGTGAAGGGTATAGCCTGTTTATGAGCCATAACATCCTCCAAATACCTCTTAGCCTTGACCAAAGGCAACTTCCTTATGGCATGGGCTGTTTCTCTTGTGTTCTATAAAAACAGTAAAATTTGCCACAGACAAATATATAAGTACAAATGTAATAGAACACTTGAAATTCAAGTTGAGCAGTGTAATAAATAAAGAGATATAATTCACCGTCTACACATAAACACAAAACAACATTGATACAAGAGATAAAAAGACTTATTTTTCCTATTAACAACAGCATTAAGAAAACAACTTCCATGTTAAAATAATTTAAAAATAACTTCCAAACGAGGACTGACAAATTTATACACCAGGTATGAATACGATACAAGGAAAATTTGTCATCATTTACTGAAACTTCAGTCACCAATAACTACAGAGGTTCACCCAATAACAATGCATATAATTTTCCTGAAGTTTACGAGAGTCATGTTCACAAGAGGCAACAGGGCCCTGCTTTTTGCATCAGGTTTTAGATTCAGATAAAAAATAAAAAGATGAATGGATATTAAAAAATTTAGTTTGTCTAAAAGATAAAGACAGTTAAAAAGATGAAAGTTCAAGGGAACTGAAATTTTATCATTGTTTCTATATCTGCACAATAATCCAATTTTTTTTCTCAAACAGCTAATTCTAAAATATGACCTCTGAAAGATAAAATCATACATCTAACAAGATACCAATTTAAATCCAACTCTCGTAATCAAAAACAGCAAGGCAGTCCAAACCTGTGCTCTGAAAAATAGAAACAACCATGCCTCCTTGTTATAACAATGTAAAGGCAATTAATCTCTAGACTTTAAATAAGAAAGCAGCTTTAGAAGGAGATATAATGTTCATACTCTTCTCTAAAATTCCTAACACGTAGGTACAAATGAACTCACGTAAAACATGGAATTCAAACAACGTATGGAAATAAATTAAGGGGAAAAAGGTTTTCAACTCATGACTTGAAACGAATAACAAAACCTAACTCAGATTATTTGCCGATCCTAGAGTGCATGCAATCAGCTAAATGTGACATCGTTTACTGAACCTTCAGCCACAAAAAAACAAACAGAGGTTCACCCAATAACAATGCACTTGATTTCCCTGAAGTTTACGAGAGACCTGTTCACAAGGGCAACAGGTCACTGCTTTTTTCATCAGGTTCTTATTAATCACCGGCTTGTAACATGCTCATGAGACACTAATAAAAACCAAACAAACATCAAGTGCTTCAACAAAACCACTAACTATACAAAAACCAGTCTAATAATTAAACAGAAAGTACTATACCTTAAAATGAACCCTGAGATCAGATCCCCTAGACTTGCAGGCTGCAAATATAAGCATTATAAAAAAAAAATTAGATCAAAACAGCAAAAAAAAAAAAAAGAAAGCAGGAACTTCAACTATGTATGATTATCAGGACAACATAGATCTATTCAAGCTAAAAGAAGATAAAGGAAGAGAAATGGATAATAAAACTTACACTTGGTGGGGTTGTCAGGCTCTTTTGAGTACTTCACCTGAAAACAAAATTCCGAAGTATGAAGGTTATAAACGAAGCGTATGAAGATTGCAAGCTAATATGAAATATTGAATGTATAACCAGAAGAGAGGGGAGACAACTGAAGAGGTACCATTGCGGCTGAAGATATGAGCTGCTTCTGAGTTAGGGAAAATGGTATGCTTCGTTCTGTTCTAGCAGCAGAGACTTAAACAGGCGCTAGGGTTTCATTTTATAGGATTGAAACGTGAAACCCTAGCTCCTAACGGCGGTGTTATTTTAATTTGGGTCCGGGTTTATGTTTGGGATCTAAAAGGCCCATTAGTTGTTCGCATGAAGTCAACAGCCGCTGGAAACGTTTGAGTAAAGCAGCCTAGGATTAACTCCAGCTCTGGACCGCTTAAGTGGAGGGCCCTGGACCGCTTAAGTGGGCTGAAAACACAACTTTAAATATTTAAACCAAATTTAAATGGTTTTTAAATAATTTCCTCACAATCATTCTGGAAAAAAAGTATCATATTTCACAAAAAAATTTAGTAACGTTGAAAGGCTCCCATGGAGCCTTTCAACTCTTACAAGTTCATTAACATCTTAAACCACAATTTTGATTAGAAACAAGCACGGATCTGGCAACGCTCAAAGGTTATTAAAGCGACGTTTAGGCTAGAGGAACGCTGTTTATCATTTGATTTTAATGTAGCATCACCTCAGAATTTGTTGCAATTCAAAAACATCACGGCTCCGTTTGGTTCATTATTCTGATAGTTTTTAGAATAATCTTTTAAAAAAAGTTGAATTGGACAAATATTACAATGTAAGATTTAAAAATTAACAAAAATATCCCTTATGTTTGTTTATTTACTAAACACCCCAATAATAAAATATTAAAAGTTAACAAAAACACTCCCAACCCACCCATTAAATACAGACAGTCAGCCACTACCATCGGAGGGTGACCAGAGTGCTTTTACAATTTCTAAAAAAAGTATTTGAGTGTTTAATTAAATCAACAAATTTAGGAGGTTTAAAATAAATTAAAAAATATAGAATAATATTTTGAGAATAATGACATTTTACCGTTTAACTTTTTTGGGAATACTAATAATAGTATTCCCAAAAACGAAACAAACGAAGCCCACAAATCTAATTACTAGTAAAAGAGCAAAAAAAGATTCTATAAACTCGTGTTTAAATCTCTTCAAGTACTAATAAGAGTGACCACTAGAACTTTTACCTGGCCGACAGTTCCAAGGCTTCAAAAGATTAATTAAGGTACACGTAAACTGACCCAAACACCCCAATGATTAAAAAAAAAAAAAAATGAAGGAAACATCAGAGGACAAGCTAACCATGAATTTTAAAATTGAACTATATTGATCATTGATTTTATTAAAGCTGTGTTTTACAAATTGTTTTTAAGACAATTATAAAGTGGTATTATACAAGCTAGAAGACATAGCTGGATATAAAGCTAGAAAAAGCAGTAACATCTGCCCAGTCTGGGAAAAGGCTCTTCAACTTCTTTGCTTCATCAACCAAAATTTGATCTACTACACTGACTTGCACTCTTAAATGTTCTGAACTGCTAGCCTGCAATTCCACGAGGAAAGTTGAGTACACTTAAAATTACAGATAATAATGAATCAGAAAATGCCCAGAGCAAGCGTGGAGGGGGAGGGAACACAAAGAGGACTGAAAAAATATGTATAAGTAGCAACAGTTACAGATTTAAAGAAAATATATGATGATGATGATGATGATACCGAAGAAACAGATGGAACAATAACAATATATTTACTCAACCAGCATTCCAATTATTCAAAGATGACTGAAGGCGCTAAAGGCTATTGGATGATCACACAAGAAGTTACAATTCTTACAACAGTATCAGGTTTTTATGTCAATAGCGCAAACAAGACATGCAAATAAACTACCAAGAGAAGCGAAACCTTACCTCTAACCAAAAGGTCCAATTTTCATGGCTGGATCCACTAAGCCGACATATGTATGATGGTGGGCCACCATAAACTGTCTCAGGAGCTGTAGAAATTTCACAAAGGATAAATATGCAATATGAGATGCTTTTGTTGGATATGGAAATGGAATCCAAAATTCTACATAATACCTGGAAGTTTATTGTCAGCAAATGACCAACTAGATAAAGGACCCGTAATGTTTAGGACTGCAACCCAAACCTCCTCCAACGAGCTGAAAGAAAAGAATGTGCAAGCTGTAAAACCTTTTAGCTGAATATAACATCTACAAATACATGTAAAAATATATATATCTCATATCATCAGCCAACTAACAATATATCAAATACATACAACTGTCGTGCATGCACCACTTTTTTTTTTTTCTGTTAACACCAAGTTTCCACCAAGCCACTTTAAGTCGCAACTCATTCCCAATTTGTCACTTGTTTTATTTACATAAATCATTGAGCAGCTACTTGGGTTAAAACATTAAATAAATATGGATAATTCTGTATACCCATAGGTATACAGAATTATCCATATTTATGATTCAAACAGTAAACTATGAGAATGTCTGCTAGCCCCAATATTGGAGATACAGTAAGAAAATTGTGTATTTTGAAGCAAACAATTTTCTGTGCATGTGTATGACAATTGACATCCCTTGTGAATTTTGTTCTACTTACCCTAAGGAAAATTCCAAATAAACTCTCCGGGATCCATCACCAGAAGTTGTATGCGGCTTGTAATTAGACAAATGGGGGAAATACTTGTATCGCTTCAAAATTCCATCACTTCTTGCAGGGAATTTCAAACTTCTCGAGAACAAAAGGGATACTGGAAATATTGACTGCAAAAGAAACATAATTTCAAAATAACTTAATCCACCAAGCCTTCCATCAAGTCTTATATGATATTTAGAAATTTATTGAAAGTAATGACTACTTCATGAAATAACTCAGCATTAGTGGTCACATAGAAGATTTCTACTGCTCTTATGAAGAGGAATATTCCCATATAAGATTAATAAAGAGAAAAAGAAACTTTTGAGGAATACCACAACCCATTGGTAGCACCTATTTTCTTTTTATTTACAAGCCTGAATATATGTTTGTGTTAGAGAAAGAGAAAGGAAGGGAAATGGTATATCATTAGATGATTCTCATGTATGCATCAACATGTTGTAAAATACTTGCCATTCAAGGAACTCCACCAAGCTTTTTACAATACCACGACTAATTTGTCACAACTGGCTGGTTGAAATCGAAAACTCATATTCATGTATTTATTCGTGTATGCACAGAAAGGTGGGAGACACTTCTTTGCAGAAAGGAGCATGGTGATAAGAAGATCAATCTCTATAGTCCCGGGAAAACCATAAAGGATAAGCAGTAAAAGATCTTCTCAAACCATCAGTTTAACATATTAATAGCAAGAAACATAATGTCATACCATCCAAGTCTCTGGCTGAGATATATTTGCAGCTTTGAAAGAGAACTCTGAGTCAATTAGCAACTCCTTTGCCACTTCAGGTGCATATTTAAAGAGAAACAGTAAAGAATTGGAATCCACTACCGAAAAATCATAACTGGACTCTGCAACCTGATTTGCATCTGAGAATCCCATGTATGATAAAAACAATTATAATTAGAAACTTCTACATCAGCAAAGTATAAAAAGGTTTTTGAATATTTACACGATGTTATTCAATACCTGCAGTCATAAATGTATGCTGGAAAACAATCCTTTTAGGCGCATCCATGCTATATGGAAAGAACTGTGATGAAAGAGCCAAGGCAAGCACACTAAGATGCAGCAAAAATTTCAAGACTGAGGACCTGGCTAGCCAGTGGCCACAAGTCGGTATAAGAGGGCCCACACACCAACCAGTTACAACTCCAGTAATTGCTGCAACTACAATATCTGGAACGTAATACCCTGCAAGCAAATACTTAACAGTCACAGCTGTTCTTTCAAACTACTTAAGCATCACAAGAGATTGAAGTTGATGAAAACTGACCATATGGGGGTGGAACAGCACCCATCATACCCATCTTCTCGGTCAAAAATTGGAAAAGCAACCCACCAAAATAAACAGAGTATAAAAGACATGGAATTAGAGGTACAGTGTAAACGATAGTTGACCTGAAAGCAAAAACATTAATCAAACCACAAGTCTTGATTCTATTAACCTTAACAACTTTCTGCTATTAGAAAGAAAAAATTCATGAGAAAGCAAGAACAATAAGGACAAGAAATGTAAAGCTAGAAACTTCACCCTCATAAAAAGGAAACAAAGACAACTTCCAAGGGGATTACAGCAACAGGGTATGCTACAACTATTTCTAAGTGTTGGCAACAAGCTAATTTATATGGACAATCAAACATATAATTCGATGAGAAATTTAAAATCAGTACCTCAATGCTCGATGACCATAAAACTTGGTTGATAGGCAAAAGAAGATCCATGCAGGAATCATAGAAGCAGACAGGCTAAAAGTCAAGAAACCTCCACTCAACCCAGCCACAAGATAAGCCTGTTTTTACTAAAACAGTTTCAGCTATACCAAATCTTAAAATTTCTTGAAGCTAGAGAATAGATTGGTCACACATCTCAAGTTTTCCACATAAAATAATAAATTTATCTGTACTGTGACACATAATCTCATCTGACAAATAATGATCAAGCTACATACCAGAGTAATTATAGCATAAAATCCAAACGCCCCCCAAAACCTTGCCTCATCAGATAGTGCCTGCAAGACGTGGAGCATCACATGTTTGCTAGCTTTCAGCAGCAATTGGTGCCACAAACATTAAACTTGAGAATCTTTTGAGACAGCAGGACTATAAACTCCATATGATAGCATAATGCCACCATAATAACTTTGAGAACAAAATGACAGGCTCAGCAAACAATTAAGCATATAGACACACAGATCAAATCATTAATCATAAACCATTATTCTCCATAAATCATTGTTTATACATTTGTGTCCTTTCTGGGATCATATAATTCTCCATAAAGCATTGTATATTATAATTGTTACCATTAAGGGATCATATAATTTTTACTTGGAACCAGTACGTGGCCAAAAGGAGCAGAAACAGAATAAAGCAGTGCATGTAATTTTGACATTTCTTCTAACTGATAGATGTGAGGCTTATATTACCACACAACTTGGACATCCACTTGTATGGTATGTCCAGCAACCAGCATTAACAGTTTCATGCCATGCACAAGATAATGTCACTAGATAAATATAAATCTCAATCAGAGACATGTAGCAGTTACAGCAATACAGTTTACAAATTCATAAGAATGATGATCTTAATATATTTGCTTATCTGCTAAAACAGCACACGATAAACTTGGCCTAAATTAACACTTGTCCACAATAACTGAACATAAAAAATTTACCTCCTTTGATGTCTTCAGAGCTTTAGCATCTTGAGAGAGGGGAAAATGACTCCAAATAACCCTTGGAATCAAAAGACCAACAAGAGAGCATGGAACAAACATCATCAAAGCCAAGAAAGGATGAGCAAACCTGCAATATACATCCTGCATATCAACTTTTTTTTGTATTTTTATTTTTAGGACTGGATTCAGCAAGGACCTTCCAGATATATCACTTTCTAAAACCATGTTAACATGGTACAAGAACACAATTCCATAGAATCATTGCAAGTTAAAAATTATTCGTCATAACAAATACACAGAGCAATACACATATAATATATGACAAGCACTCGTTTATACAAAGAAGTGAAGCAAAAAGATCTGAAATGCACCAGCTCATTGCATAACTTGAGAACAGCAATCTTAGGATTGAAAAGGTAACCGGGAAAATAATTGCCATTACAATCCCAGTAGCATGAAACATGGTTCCTGCAAATTTAAGATATTTGAAAATGTTACTTAATTCTTTGACAATGAATCTCAATATTCATGTACTGTTGAAGAGCAAAAATTATGATAAAATTGAAGGAAAATCACAATAATCCCTTCAAACAAAATAAATTAGCAGTGATCAATTACCTTTTACAAAATCGCAGAATTTTGAAAACCAAGCATGCAGGCCAGAATTCAGCAAACACAAAAAAAATGGAACAGAAAGGAAGATGACAATGGGAATCCTGTGAAGTACCATAGATGCGCTTCTTGAATAATATATCTGAAACATCCATAATAAAATAAAGACGTTATCCATGCTTAGGATCAAATTAGTTTTATAATATACATAAAATACATAAACTATAAGAAGAGAACAAACCACTGGTATAGTAACTTACCATGAACCATGTTAAGTAGTCAAAGAAAACAGCACGTTCATCCTTATTTTCATTGTAAGTATCTCCAAAAGACTCTCTTCCATGGGTAATATGTAGCCGAGAAGAATTACTGAAGGCCTTAAGTAAACTGAAAAAATTATCTCCCCGTGCTTGCATGCTTCCGGGTCTGTTTCAGAAACACTTAAACTTATCAGAGAAACTGCTTAAGGATGAAATGAAACAGAAGCTCCTCTCAAGTAAATATATACCAAAATAGCAGATGTAATGCATACAATAATCTGTCCACTGTATCATAGGAGGTATGGTAATAATAACCACCAAGGAGAAAAATAATATCCAGGCCAGGAATGTTTCCATAATCTTGAGAAAATATTCTATAGTCTGTATCTCCCGGAATAATAGGAAAGACATCCTGCATATAAAAAATAGATACCTCAGTATAGAAGTATAACTGTGGTCCAAATCATGCTGTTAGGAATTTGAACATGTCATATTGTTTTAAAATAATAAAGCAAGACAACATAGTGAGTTCCTTCATACATAACCAACAATGAAATGCTGGCCAGATTGATATGAACATAAACATAAAGAATAGACAAACCTGAGCTGCACTATGTGCCATGGGGTATATTGCTGATTGAGCGTAGACTAGAGAAGGCCAAGAAGTGGGCCCAGATTGGCAAACTAAATCTGTTAATCCAACAACATAAAGTCAGTGCTGCAGCACCATAAAAGAAATTTCGCATGAAAAGGGCAATAAAAAACTGAGTGTGTGATCTCTATCCACAGAATCAACAAAGGTTTCTTTCAAAGACAAAAAGGAAGGAAAATGCTGTGGCATGGTGATCTAAAATCCATATAACCCTGGGGAAGAAGTTTGTATGTTTTGTAGCTCACCAGTCACAAGCCAATGATCATTCAAAAGACTTCTCCGTAGTTTTTATTTCACATATTAGCGCTATTGGACCACACATGCTTTTAATTTTGAAAGACAATGAGATTAGAATTGGATTTCCTACCAAAACCTCCTGAGCCAGATGCTTCTACATTTATAAAAGCCCCAACTGAATCACGCCATTTATGTGTCTTCATAAAGCCATGTGCGCCCTAAAACATCATAAGCACAAATCATCTCAATTGCTAGCGCCTAGGAAGCTCAATAAAAATAGAATTTCATTAAAAAAAAAAAACAATAAAAAAACTAATAGCTTAAGCTAGCTCAATGGTTGTTCCTCGTGTTATTTGTTTTCCAGCAATTTTGGTTTTGGATAAGTTAAAATTTCATGCAAGGTTTAATAAAGGCAGTTAATGCAGCTTCTAATTTGTCTTCCATATAAACTCAGCCGCTGCCCATGGACAAACATCATGCAAGATTTTACTTTCTAATAGAGGTGTTACCTTGACATTTTCATTCAAGAATCAAAGGATTCAAACTCTGAGAATATCACAACAAATTAGCAATGCAAAAAGTAAGAAAAGCATAACTCCAAGACTAAGAAGATCTGATAGCAATAATAGAAGCCTATTTCAAACTACATAAAATCGTAATGCTTCCAGTAATCCTTACCAACAAAAAAATTTCTTCTGCACCGTTGAAAAGAAATATGATAGGCCTAGGAGGAATCCAGCCAGAATCTACTGTAAGTCTAGCCAGTTCCAGCATCGATGCTGCAAAGAGAGAAAAGCATATGGAATGAATCATAAAGCAGAAAAATTCTGTATAAGTGTATATTCCATTCAGAGAAAATATTCATTGTACCCACCAACGCATGAACCACAATCGCCAGCACCTGGGGAGCCAAGTGGGCCATCAAAATGGCCATTCATTAAAACCGAGGGCTCATCCTCTCGCAAATCTGTGGATGATATCCTGTCACAAATAAATTAAAAAAGAAATACCAGTTCATTAAAACACTCTGCAAGAAAGTTGTGAGATTCTAATGATTGGGTGTCTCACAAGACATCATTGGTAAAATGCCTCTCGCATAGGAGCAGATATACATATATATATATGAAACCCCCAAGCATCATAAATGCTCCATCATCTTTCTTGTGATCCAGCATAAGATGCTGTTCTATTTTTCTTCCTAAAGTTATTTTAGACAATTGCACCTAAAATACCATCCAAAGGGTTTAATATTTACCCCATATACCTAATAGTTTTCTGAACAGAGTTCAAGCTACTTTCCTATTTCCGATTCTGTCCAGATCATACATAACAAAACCACATCCTTGAACTCCAGTAAAGATATCCAGGATTAAAGTTCTCCCAGCTACTATTTGCAATCACACTTCACAATTACCAGTTTACTCGATGTTAAATTGTGGTCCCCACCTTCATGCACTATTGCAGGAGAGAAAATCCAGTCCTCCCCTAAATGATTGATTACTTCATAAATTAGTTAAATAAATATAAAGTTCATAAATAGCAAGGTAGGTATACCTCATTATGATATTTGTATGGTTTCTGTAACCCAGCGATATACTGTGGCCCAAAAACAACATATTGAAAGAGCCATTAACAGTTGTCTCTTCAACCTCAATTCTGCATAGTAAAGAACCCACAGCAACCGACTCAGTCACAACTCGACCTAACAGTATAAAGTAGTAAACCGATATACCAACCTTAATTTCGATCCAGCTCTCTCCTTAATCATTTCCAACTGTGTTTTGATATACACAGCAGCTTCTCTTAGGCCCGGACGCCCTTCCTGTTAAAAATTCAAGTTTTATGGTATTAATTTCAAGCAAAATAACTTTTGCTAAGTCTCACCGTCTGTAAATAATAGAAATTAAGTTTACGATGTTATTGTCTCACTTGGCGACCATCGATCTCTTCGGATAAAACGCGAACGTGTTGGATGGCTCTAGCTTCAGAGAAGCGATCAAGAGGCGCATGGAAATCAAGCGGCTTCACGAACTTCATGTGGATTATAGAGTAAACGAGCACCGACATGATTCCATACATGACTGATAGAAGTAGCAAGAATTTGAAGGCCGACACGTCTCTAGAATCAAACCTCAACGCCATTTTTCTCCGAAATTGAAAACCTCAACTTGATCTCTGTTGATTGTGAAATGCGTCACTATAAATATATTGACGAGAAGAGCGAATACCTGTCTCAAGAAGCTGCTAGTTTCTGACTTTTGAGTAAATGAAAAGTGAAAACGAACGAGGCGTCAAGAGAAGAACTGTAAACGAATGGATCTCCCTGGCTCCGATAACCCAATGACTTGTGAGTTTGTGAATTGTCATACCTCGTGTCGTGGAGGACAAACGAGTGGGCCATGCACTTTGAATCTCCTGGGCTTAGAATACCAGGATCAACTTTTTAGAGGGGCCCAAACTCGGATTGGTGACGCTGACCATAAGTGTTCTTGGTGTGATTCAACTGCCTTGGGCCAGCTCCGACCTAATTTTCCATTTGACGGTTTTGATCTATTGACCAATATGTACGCTTTTTCCCGTTAAGTCTCCATTTATGACATAGAATAAGAAGAAAATGATGTTTTTGGAGCAATGACAATAATAAAATGTATATTTTAATTCGAATATTGCTTAATGATTAAAGAGGTTGATATTTTAGGTTAAAATCTAGATTTATCCTTATAAATGTATGGTATAGTGTAATACATATATATTTATTTTTCTTTCATCCACCAAAACCTTATTATATATAAAAGTGGTATTATATTAGTATTTGATTAACTATATGCATTTTACACATACAAAGTTCATAAATCTCACACGTTTTGATTTTAAAGTTGTTATTGCGATATTTCGCACCAACGAAAAAGTACGCGAGCCTTTTGAAAGAGTTTGCGCAAAAGATCTATGCAAAACAGTGAAATATGATGTTGAACCCGTAAAAGATATTGAAAATACTAGGTCAAAAGTAAACAAAAGAATAGATACAAACAGTTTTTAAAGTTATTCGGATCAGGGGTGTTCAAAAGAACCTGTTGGAACCAGAACCAGCAGGTACCCTGGGTTTGGTTCCTGTTCCTACCCAGAACCAATCGTCAATGGGTAGGTTCCGGTTCCAAATTTTTGGAACCGGAACCAGGAACTAGGAACCGAGACTAATATAAAATAAAATTAAATATTAGAGGGATTAATAAAAACTTTTGTAGAAAAAGTAATGTGAATACATTTATATTTATATTTCATAACATTTAAAGTAAGTTGGTTTGACTTTTGAGAATCTATCTTTACAAAGTAATAGAGTTTGTAATTTTGAATTTTGAATTTTGAATTTATAATTTGTAATTTTATTTTTGTTAACAAGTGCCAGTTGGGGGGGTATTTGTAAGTTTTTAAGGTTTTTTTGCTATTTTAAAAACTTTTGGGGGGTCATTGTAATTTTATAGGGTATCCAGAACTGGAACCGGAACCGTTGTTACAGGTTCCGATCCTGGGTACCTAGGAACCGGAACCATTGGTTCCGATTCTGGTTCCAAATTTCAAGGAACCGTTGATTCCGGTTCCTTCAAAAAGTGTAGGGTACCCGGAACCGAACACCCCTAGTTCGGATGCAACGCATAAATCTTATGTCCACTGTTATCTCATTGATGTGTTTACAAAAGATATTTGCTCAAGAGAGAGGTAACTACTCTGTTGCTATTAAGAAGAAAAAATATTGATGTCTGGTTTGGGATGAGAGACCCCTATTTATAGTTTGGCATGGATGGTCTTGTTCAAGAAGTAACCCTCTGGTCTTCTGCCACATCTCCTGACAAGTTGCCCTAATTTAAGACTTAATAATGAAGTAGCCCTCTTATAAAGGTGCCACGCAACCTGGGTGGTGATTCAACTGTGAGTCTTACCATCGAAGTAAACTCTAGCAATCGTAAGGAATAAGCCACTATGAATCTTATTGTTGAAGCAGCCCATGACACTCTTGTTCTTGTAGGAAAAGCTATCTTTTCATAGTGTAACAATCATACGGAATAAGCCATTATGAATTTTGCTGTTGAAGTAGCCCATGACACTCTTGTTCTTGTAGGAAAAGCTATCTTTTCATAATATAACATTCGTACGGAATAAGCCATTATGAATATTGTTGTTGAAGGAGCCCATGCCACTCTTGTTCTTGTAGGGAAAACTATGGTCGTGTTTGGTTCATTATTTCTACCCATATTCCCAATCCTATTTTCCAAATAATCTTTGGCACATTATTCCAGAAATATTACCCAATTTTTTGTAATTACTTTTAGACCCCATAAGGTTATTAATTTCATTAAATACCCCCTGAAAAAAAGTTTAAAAATAATAAAAACACCCCCGTGACCCATACTTGGCAGAATCTGCCACAACAGTGAATTATCGACCAGAGAAAAGGCCAGATCGGTGAATTACCGACCAGAACTGGCCGGTAATTCACCAGATCTGGTCGGTAATTCACTGATCTGGCCTTTTCCAGCCAGATCCACAGTGGATCTGGCCGGAAAAGTCCAGATCTGGCCATCAACGACGGCCAAAGAAATGGCCATCGTTGACCGAAAACGATGGCCATATCTTTGGCCGTCGCTAACGGTCAAAGATGGTCGTCGCTTTGGCCTTTTTCGGCCGTCGACTACCATAGCAGGTCGTAGATCTGGTCTTTTTCTGTCAAATCTGTGGTGGATCTGGCCGGAAAAGATTATAACGACGCGTTACGACACATATCCGACTGGTCTGTGTCGTAACGGGATTTTCTGACTGGAATCTAGCACTGCAGGTGGTAGAGGTATTTTTGTCATTTTATATGTTGGGGTGTTTAATTAAATTAGTAAACCTAGGGGTTTTTTTTTATAAATTTTTAAATTTTACCTCGTAATACTCCCCTATTCAACTACCCAATATTATTCCCAAAATCTTATTCAAAATAATGAAACAAACGCACCCTATATTTTCATAGTGTAACAATTGTACGGAATAAGCCATTATGAATCTTGTCGTTGAAACAGCCCATGACACTCTTGCTCTTGTAGGAAAAGCGATCTTTTCATAGTGTAACAATCGTACAGAATAAGCCATTATGAATCTTGTTGTTGAAGCAGCCCGTGACACTCTCGTTCCTGTAGGAAAAGCTATCCTTTCATAGTGTAACACGTGGCCCAAACATTTGAATAGTCATGGAACACGTGTCGAGTTTTCATGCCTATTAGATTCGCCATATAACAAAAGTCTTATATCCTACAAAAGACATGACTCTTGAACATGATTTTTACGAGCTATATATTAGTTGCATGTTTTGAGAAATATTACGCAGTTAGTTTAAGATCTATAAATAATATAATAATGTTATGCTTACTCACGATCTTACTAACAATATTACTATCCTTTGTAAATATAAAACATAGTACGAGTACCATATATAATTTTAACAAAGGATAGTAAGGCAGTTAGTAAGTTCGTGAGTAAGCATATCATTACTCTAAATAATATCATAAACTATTTACATTCATTCGTCGTAGCTTTACTAGATTACCAATGCATATTGAGAAAATAAAGTGATAGTCAGATCAAGTATTAGAACAAGTAATTGTATATTACCACTAGCCTAACAACTGTATCAATGATTTTTTTCTCATATTACACATCTCAGATTTACATCTAAAGTAGTATATTTCAATTCCCATATATTATAACAATAATTTAGAGATACATGTCATAATAAACCATGAAATCATGTGATTATTATGTATTTAATTGTGTTCAACTATGAGTTTTTCCCATAAAAAAATTTAAACTTTACTTTCAACAAAAAACAAAAACAATGAGCACAAGCCGCGGTTTTTTGCGTTATGCCATCGGATGAACACATTTACTTGCAAATTGCAATCATAGCTAACCCAACTACCCAAGTCTAGAACCCCAAAAGCGGGGCCCTGCTTAGCCTAAACCTAAACGGATTGCATAGGGTTAAAGACCCATAAAAGATGAAATAATTACTTATAAAACCCTTTTCAAATACTCAAAATAGGAATTGACCCACTTTTAAATACATTGCTTTTCAACAAAAATATCCTTAACTTCATTTATCCCTCACACTTGACATTACGTCGTGGATAAATCACTATGGGACACTGTACTAAATCATCCCAAAAAATAGATGTTTTATTATGATACTTTTCTATATTTAAATTTACTATTTAAGATGATTTTTTGATTTGGAGATGTATTTAGGTGTTTATTTACTTAGTAAATTGTTGATACAGAAATCTGCACCAACCAACGAGATCCAATCGATCTTGAATTGATGTGTGTGTGATTACGGATAATCAGTTATAGGTGAATGAAAGTGCTAGAAAATAAATGGCAAGAAAGACTTTTAAAGTGGTTCGACGAAATTAATAGCCTACGTCCACTGTGTTTTGTTTATTTGATGTGAGAGCTTACAATGTAATTTCTAAGCTAGAATTTTGTATCCCCTTCCTTATCATTTTAAGGGATATATATACAAGATTTACATGAAGGGAATGGCGAAAATAAAGGGATTACAATTGATTGGGACTACAACTGATAAGAAGGCAAAATGTCATATTTTCCCCCCTTAATGTCTAGTCTTTTATACTTATTTGGTGCCTAAATATACTCATTATTATTTTATTTTGATTTAGGATGAAAATGGAGGCGTTAAATGCAAAACGAAACTAATTAGGTGAATTCAGATGGTTTTGACATCGCTTCGTAATCTAGGCATAACTCTCTCATCCGAGCTCCGATTGAGATGATTCAAAATGTCATGGAACCCCAAGAAATAGATCTACAACTTTCATGTTTAGGGTTTGGAGAGATACTCGCTGCATCAAGGTTGTAATCGGGCTTGAAATTGATGCACATGCACTACTGACGTTCTGGAACATTTGGCCTTATCATGCAATTCAAATATGCGGTTTATTATTGGAAGTTTTGAAGATATGGTGCACGAAAGTTACAGCTAGAAACACCACTTTCCTAGTTATATTAGGACTTTATTTTATTTTTAATTAATCAGATTTGGATAAATGTTATTTTAGGATAAAACTTAGAATATTTTTAGGAGATTGAGTAGAATTCAAAGACTTGAATTGGATATTTTTAAGAGGCGGAGAGAGATCAAACTGAGATATATTACACACGCCTCTCCTTCTCTTTTTTAACTTCTCCTTTGAGTTTTCATGATGGCCATGAGCGGCTAAATTTTCATAACTTGGTCGAAGGAAACGGAGGCCTCGGAATTAATAAAACTGTGAGATCTAATATGTTTATTATTTGTTGCAATCTATCGCTAAATTAGATATCAAATCCGTAATTGTTTGATCCCTCTAATTTGTGAGTAACTAAGATTTAAGAATTTTTTGCGCTAGGAATTATTAAATCTTAAGAAGAATGCTTGACTAAATTAAATACAACCGCTTGTATTTGTGTTGTTCAATTTCATCGATCTCTCTAGTTCTTAAGGCTGCTACTAGATTAAATCTTTAGTGCTTGTTTTGGGTTGTTTAGTAGTAAGATTAATTAGATCGCTTGTTTCTTAATTAACTGCAACTAAGGAGAGATAGGAAAATAGTACCAACGGTGAATATTCAAAGTATGAATTGATATATACTTGCATTGATGATCAGTTATAAAATTCTGATGGTGGATGTTGACTTAGACCAAGGTTTGTTCTTTTGATTGATTTTGATAATTTAATTTGAATTATCCCTTAGTTGTTTTTCCTGAAATTGTTTTCGTTAGACTCAAACCCTCTCCCCCCCATCCTTGTTCACATAGCATAAAACTAGGCTAGAGACTCTCCATGGAAACGATCCTTACTCGCACTACTACATGTATTCTTATATTTTAATTTTGGTTGCCTGCGACAGCACACCAGCAACTCCGATATTCTCGCAATTGGGCTTTAAGATTGCCAAAGATTGCTGTTAATCTGATTATTCTCGTAATATCTGGAATCTAAAGTTATCTGGGAATCGATTGAATGATCATTCGGGTTATCCACGACTAGCTTGTGCTAAATCGAGTTATGACTCAACGAGCTTACTCTAGGTCGATCAATCGTAGTTACTGAAGTCATTCTAGGTCGAGCTATATCCTCGTATCGACCCGAGCTTAGCAAAAAAACTACACATAACATATATCTTTCGTTTAAGGTGATTTGTTTGTTTTATTGCAAAAATACGTGGTTAAATTGAAAGAAGTCGAAATTAGTTGCATAGATGATTTCCAGAAAAATTTGGAAGAACCCGTGTATTGATGAATAAACTGGAATGTACGAGTAAAGGGCGCACAAGTAGGACCAACTTGTACGGCCCAAGAGTGACTCTACTTGAGCGCATGAGTTTTAAATGCATAAGTAGAGTCACTCTTGCGCTGTACTCAGCTTTTCTACTATATTTGTAATATTCAAATGAATATGGAGCTATATTTATATAGCGATATATAAATATTCAAATGATAGAGTTCTTAATTATATAGCGATATATAAATGGATTATTTTTTAATTTCAATCTTCCAAAAGGTGTGGCTGATTAAGTAAATTTTCAGTAGAAGATAGCTCTTGAGACTTTTGATTATGAAAATGACTACACATGATTATTACATAGTTGACAAGAAATGTAGAGAGTTGACAAAAGTGTATAAGTCGGTTTTGAGAAAATAAAAAATTAATTTATGTTTCCAAAAATATTTATTTCAATTATTTTTTTAATCACAAAGTACTTTCTAAATAGTTTATTGTATTGTATCAAATCTGTTTTCAGGTATTATTATTGTGTTTTGGGTTTTAGAGGTAAACTAGCATATACCCAGCAGAGCTAAACACTTAAAAATTTGAAAAATAATTTCTCAATGTGGCAAGTCATCATTGGTTATGTAGATTCGTTATAATACTGTTATTATTCTCAATAAAATTTTATAAAATAACAAAAACACTCTACCAATTCAAGCAACAATCGCCCACCAGCAACCACCGTCAGCGTCAAAACGACGCACGATCGACTAGATTTGGCCTATTGTGTGTTGATCCAGCCGTCAACAATGGCCAAACATTAGCTAGATCTAGCCGGTTATGCGTCGATCTAGCCGTCGACAATGACCAAACATTAGCTAGATCCAGTCGGTTGTGCGTCATTTCGACGACTTCCAGCCAATGTTCAATGGTGGTGGCCGACTACCGACAATCAGTTTGGTGGGTGATGGTGTTTTTATTAATTTATAAACTTTTATTATGGGTAGTGAGATGTTTAGCTAAATTAACAAGTGTAGAGGGTTAAAAAATAATTTAAATATTATCGGTAAATGTTTTCTAAAAATGTACCAAATACATTATCAGAATCCTATTTCGGTGTGTGCGGAGGATTACCTTCCCTCAGATATTGGCTCCTTTAAGTTTTGGTTATGTTTTCTTTCTCTATTTCATATGTTATGTTTTATTTCACTAACTTGTGTTTATATATAATTTTCGGGTCTTGTGCTATCTTTACCGTTTGAGGTGATATTACACATCCAAGAGGTTGAACTTGCGTACATGGAATCCTCTTCAGCTTTATCTACATTTACAGCTCCCATAAATACTAGTTTATCTAGATCTTCTTCTAAAGTAGACAGTCTGTATGAAATATCTTATATCCCAGAAAATCAAAAAATCCAAGACACAATCCCTCCCATTGTAAATCCTTACACCGCTTTTTCCAAGTCTACGTCTTCTTTGTCTAAAACCTTTAAAACTCTTGTCCGTCCTTCCAGAAAGCCAGTCAAAGAGTATGTCCAGACTAGTACATTTGACAAGTGTCAAATTCCAGCCACATCCCAAGAACAATATGTTACTTTAGAAATCCCTCAAGAATCCATTACTCAATGGATCCGTGAAGGATACTCTCATGTGCACTTTGGCGCTATCCGGCTCGCTCTCTCTTATCATGGCAGAAAAGGACTTCNTTTTTTTTTTTTTTATTCATTTACTGTACGTGAATATATATGCAAAGAGGCAAGTTTAAGATGTCTTGAATTTGCTCAAGAATCAATGTTAATGGCCTGAAAGAAATAACATATTTCAGTGAAATCCAAGGCTAATTCTTTATGTGAATGTTCATATTCATCCTAAATCCTAAATCAGATCCTTTTCTTCCTTTTGCAATTAGATTTAATCTTTTTCTTTTCATCTCTATTTACTTGCTTTCTACTCTTCCATCAGATTCTTGGTTTGAGAAATGGGACGAACAAAGCAACGAAGTTAATTAAAAAAAAAAAACCCTTATACCTAAATGAAACTTGCTGAGAATAGATGGGAGAAATACAGTTATATTCTATGCCTTAATCACCTTTAAAGCATCAACGATTGCTTGGTGATTGAGAAAATGAAAATGTCGGGCCAAACATATTCGGTTCACGTCATCTTTTACGTTCCTTCTTTCAATTACAACTATTTATAAAGAATTGAAAGCATATCAGCATTTTCACACTTACAAGCAAATCTCATATATCACAATTCTCTCTAGCTCTTTTATCATTCAAACACTTACCATCTCTCATATCATGGCTGATGCAATTGTTTCCACTGTCTTGGGGCAGCTGAGTTCAATCATTGGTCAACAAATACAACAGGAGGTGAAGCTAGTTGTTGGTGTCGACAAAGAAGTCGAAAAGCTTAAGAGCAATCTTCAAGCTATTAAAGCTGTGCTTGTTGATGCGAAGGAAAGACAAGTGAATGAGGAAACTGTACAACTTTGGTTAGAACAACTCAAACATGCATCCTACGACATTGAAGATGTGTTGGATGAGTGGAACTACGCAACGTTGAAAATGCAAATTAAGGGAGTTGAATATGCTAATGTTCCTAAGAAGAAGGTGTGTTTCTTCTTTCCCTTCTCTTGCTTTTCATTAAAACAAGTTAGGTTACGTCAAGTTGTTTTACGTCATGACATTGCAATGAAGATAAAAGAAGTAACTGAAAATCTAGACGATATTGCGAAATAAAAAAAATATGTATAATTTTAATGTGGTTAGAAGTGTTGAGAAGTTAGAACGAGTACAAAGTACCTCGATTGTTGATGTGTCTGAGATAATGTTTTAAAACCCAACTCGGGGTGAAACCCGACAAAGTTTTCGGGTCCCGGGTGGATCGGTTTAACCGGTTTGACTGCGGTTGACAAAAACTTTTAAAATTCAGCAAATACACCCTGAATTTTAACCGGTTTGACTGCGGTTTGACTGCGGTTGACAAAGTTGGTATGAGCTGATGAGATAATACAGGGGTCAATTTCTACATCACCTCTGAATTTTCCAACAATTTTATGTTATGTATTTGAAAAATCAACATAAACACCTTTCTGCCTAGGGATGGTTTGGTATTTTCGCATTGTACCAACCACCATATGTCACCATGATCATAATCGTACACAACTACAAATTCAATCGAAAAAAAAAAAAAAAAAAAATGTCGCCTCAAGAGCCCAACAACCGTCGGACAACCTCCTCTTCCACAACCGGACATTCCCTTGCCTGCTCGCCCCTCTTCCATTGCAACGGCAGCCCCCATATCTCTATCTTCCCCATGTTCAATTGTGTAAATTGGTATGGTTACCATTCATCTATTTTCGTTTTATGTTGCTTAATCTTTAGGCTTTCAACTTCATCACCATGATATAGGGTTGTAGACATTTTTTCCCATCATTTTGAAGAGAGCTTCAGATTCTCTCCACAGCTTGAGGGAACCTAGAATCTGCACCCTCTGCCATGGAGTTATTAGGATCGAAGCACCCTGGTTGAATTTTCATATTTCTCTTTGCTTATTCCTTCTATGAGAATGGCATACATTTAATTTGAGTATTCACATCATTTATGGTTAGTCTACCAATTACCAAAGTGTGTTAGTTTAGGTGGTGTGAACTGCCCTCTCAAACTAACTACTATAACCGTTTAGCCCTCAACAACCACAAACATGTCATTTGTTATCTAAATTAAATAACTCCCTGTCATTTGTACATAAATTATTTTTTCCAGGCCACCGTGGTTCTAGCCACGGTGGTGGTTTTGATGAGGTGTGGGTAGTGGATGATTTGTTGGAGGTGTGGAGGTAGTTTTGAATTCTCTGACTCTATAGAAAATTGTCATCTTGTCCTTTTTCAAACGGTTTTTACTAACAAACTCTGATGGAAGTATGGATGATCAGGTTTGGGTACCTTGGGATTTTTGGAGGAACCAGAACCGGAATTAGAACCGAAATTGGTCATTTCCTGAAATTAGGAATCGGAACCAAAATTGATCGGTTCCGGTTCCTCAATTGCTGGAACCAAAACTTGTGAAACAAGTTTCGGTTCTGGGTACCCTGGATAATTCCATTGGTCCATGTAACTTCGTAAAATGATAAAAAAACTTGTAAAATTTACAGATACACCCCCATTTGTTTAAATATTCTATAACAATATAACTTTTTCCTTATTAATTAATTTCAATAGATCAAATAATTTCAATGTATAGTGTAAGACTATATATTAAAATTATTCATAGCCTCTTCATATCCAAAATCCAAAATGTTCAATATATAGTCTATGACAAATTAAAATTGATTCAGGGATTTCATTATTAGTTTAGGGCTAAAATTTGTTAAAACCCCCCCGATGTTCTACACTAGTTTTATAAACCCCAATTCTTTTCCCGGTTCCTTGCAAGGTATCTTATTATCGGTTCCTAGCAGGGCACCCTATTCCAGGTTCTGGTTCTTGGAATGAAGGAATCGAAACCAGAATCGGGGGGTCCCAATTCCTATTTTGGTGCAAGTCCAAGGTTGGGTAGGACATAGGAAGACTTTGGTGCTTCATTGTGCATGGTATCCAGTCATTTGATTTTTGAATGGTTGCTCACGGGCTTTACTTCCCCCGGATGATAATGAGATGGCTGGATGGGAGCTTTTATAATTGGCCTTTGGTGCTTGATGATTTNATTGCTGGAACCAAAACTTGTGAAACAAGTTTCGGTTCTGGGTACCCTGGATAATTCCATTGGTCCATGTAACTTCGTAAAATGATAAAAAAACTTGTAAAATTTACAGATACACCCCCATTTGTTTAAATATTCTATAACAATATAACTTTTTCCTTATTAATTAATTTCAATAGATCAAATAATTTCAATGTATAGTGTAAGACTATATATTAAAATTATTCATAGCCTCTTCATATCCAAAATCCAAAATGTTCAATATAGAGTTCATGACAAATTAAAATTGATTCAGGGATTTCATTATTAGTTTAGGGCTAAAATTTGTTAAAACCCCCCCGATGTTCTACACTAGTTTTATAAACCCCAATTCTTTTCCCGGTTCCTTGCAAGGTATCTTATTATCGGTTCCTAGCAGGGCACCCTATTCCAGGTTCTGGTTCTTGGAATGAAGGAATCGAAACCAGAATCGGGGGGTCCCAATTCCTATTTTGGTGCAAGTCCAAGGTTGGGTAGGACATAGGAAGACTTTGGTGCTTCATTGTGCATGGTATCCAGTCATTTGATTTTTGAATGGTTGCTCACGGGCTTTACTTCCCCCGGATGATAATGAGATGGCTGGATGGGAGCTTTTATAATTGGCCTTTGGTGCTTGATGATTTTTGGGTTATTTTTGCTGCTTTGGTTCTTATGATGATTTGTGCAAGCCCCAAACAGGAAAAGCCCCTCTTTGATGTGGGTTGTTTGTGGTCCTAGAAGCAGATTTTGCAAAATACAAGAAAAGTAGATTGGTTAATACTAGAAGAACAGGTTGTATTGATAAAGACGATCCCACCAAGGGCCTACTCCGTACCACAAAGGATGGATCACAAGAAGGAAAGACAGGTTTCGGTCAATACAAGAAGATTAGATTATATTGATAAAGAATAGATTGGGCCATTAATACAAAATAAGGTACATGGGCCTTGTAAACTAGAGATCAGTATAGATTGGTTATTTAAAAATATAGAATAAATATATATATATATATATATGGACCCTTCAATGTTTAATTTGATTCATAAATCACACAGAATGGATTGGCCCATTAATACAGAATAAGGTACATGGGCCTTGTGAAATATTTTTGTTGGTGACTTGTACTAGAGAATATATCTTAAATTTATTAAAGTTAAAAGCTTACCTTAAAGACTTAAATTTTGAGAGAATGTTTAACACAATTTATTTTTTTTTATTTTTTTTATTCATTTACTGTACGTGAATATATATGCAAAGAGGCAAGTTTAAGATGTCTTGAATTTGCTCAAGAATCAATGTTAATGGCCTGAAAGAAATAGCATCTTTCAGTGAAATCCAAGGCTAATTCTTTATGTGAATGTTCATATTCATCCTAAATCCTAAATCAGATCCTTTTCTTCCTTTTGCAATTAGATTTAATCTTTTTCTTTTCATCTCTATTTACTTGCTTTCTACTCTTCCATCAGATTCTTGGTTTGAGAAATGGGACGAACAAAGCAACGAAATTAATTAAAAAAAAAAAACCCTTATACCTAAATGAAACTTGCTGAGAATAGATGGGAGAAATACAGTTATATTCTATGCCTTAATCACCTTTAAAGCATCAACGATTGCTTGGTGATTGAGAAAATGAAAATGTCGGGCCAAACATATTCGGTTCACGTCATCTTTTACGTTCCTTCTTTCAATTACAACTATTTATAAAGAATTGAAAGCATATCAGCATTTTCACACTTACAAGCAAATCTCATATATCACAATTCTCTCTAGCTCTTTTATCATTCAAACACTTACCATCTCTCATATCATGGCTGATGCAATTGTTTCCACTGTCTTGGGGCAGCTGAGTTCAATCATTGGTCAACAAATACAACAGGAGGTGAAGCTAGTTGTTGGTGTCGACAAAGAAGTCGAAAAGCTTAAGAGCAATCTTCAAGCTATTAAAGCTGTGCTTGTTGATGCGAAGGAAAGACAAGTGAATGAGGAAACTGTACAACTTTGGTTAGAACAACTCAAACATGCATCCTACGACATTGAAGATGTGTTGGATGAGTGGAACTACGCAACGTTGAAAATGCAAATTAAGGGAGTTGAATATGCTAATGTTCCTAAGAAGAAGGTGTGTTTCTTCTTTCCCTTCTCTTGCTTTTCATTAAAACAAGTTAGGTTACGTCAAGTTGTTTTACGTCATGACATTGCAATGAAGATAAAAGAAGTAACTGAAAATCTAGACGATATTGCGAAATAAAAAAAATATGTATAATTTTAATGTGGTTAGAAGTGTTGAGAAGTTAGAACGAGTACAAAGTACCTCGATTGTTGATGTGTCTGAGATAATGTTTTAAAACCCAACTCGGGGTGAAACCCGACAAAGTTTTCGGGTCCCGGGTGGATCGGTTTAACCGGTTTGACTGCGGTTGACAAAAACTTTTAAAATTCAGCAAATACACCCCTAAAAATTACTGTAAGTCCCTATAGGTTTGAAATCTATCAAACACACCCCAAATACAAATCAACCTGCGACTGATTGGCGGCGGCAACAACCCAGATGCAACCCCAATCATCCCTTAAGCCAATTTCCATTAAAATCTACTCAAGATCTAGCCGAAATAGGTTCGATTTCGGCCAAATCTCACCGACGGGGGTGTCGGCATTCCAGGCCAGATCTCATTGACGCCGGTGTTGAAAACCCTCCCTATCACCCAAGAATTACTCCCTTATTCCTCCCGACCAAAACCCACCTCACCCCACCCTCGTTAGCCTCGTAAATTGCGAGCAAAATCCCATTGTTGCCGCTGTCAGATTTGTTTGATTTCCGATCGATTTATTCACCGGAAATCAACGCCGTCACCACCATTACATTCACCGGCACTTATTCTTCAAAAGCCCCAACTTTCCGGCCGTCGATTATTCGTCGATCATCCTCCCAAATCTTAGGGTTTTGGTTGAATCGGAAAAGTTAAACCTGACCCGTTGAAGCTCCTGGGTCCCGGTTCAACCGACTGAGTTTTAAAACACTA